ATGATATATCTTATTATACTAGTTCTTATTAATAACTTTAGTAACATAAATGTGTTAGAGATTTAGAAAAATTGTTTATTCATTCAGCTGAATTTTGTAGAACTCTTTTCTTCTTTTTGTTTTTTTCCTTTTCTCCTGCCATTTGTTTTTCTCTGTGCATGTTGTGTTGTGGTTTTTTTCCTTTTGTGTGTTATTTTCTTTAAATTCTGTATCTGCAGAGTCTGAATGGTGATTTATGCTTTGGTCAAATAATATTGCTTCTGCCTTTATGGTAGTATTGATTTGTTTTTGTGGTTGGTTGTGCACAGGGAACTTGATGATGAGTTGCAAGACGCACTTTATGAATTCTCGGAAGCAAGGGGTATAAACGATGATCTTGCTATTTTCTTGCATGAATACATGAAGAACAAAGATAAAACTGAGTTCATTAGATGGATGGGAACAGTGAAATCAGTTATTGAAAAGAAGTAGAGTGATTGGTTGTGCAACATTTTGGATGAACTTGATTTATCGATCCTATTTGTGTTGGGTAATGAAATTTCAACCTAGTTGCGATTGCACATGATCTTGTCCACTTGTATTTAACTGAGGGGAAGAAACTAGCACAATTATGTAAGTGGTCCTCTAATGTATTAAAATGGTTATTTGGAATCTCATTGTTGTTTTTAACTTTCCATCTTTGATTTTTAAAATTATGTAGCTTTTCATTTGAACTCTTTAGGGAAGTTGTTGCATTGGACCATCCAAAGGAATAAAACAGCCCTCTAGTGGTGGCATATGCCATCTATATGGGTTCTAGAATTTCTTGAAAATGTCTTCTTCTTCTTTTTTTTCAGTCAACACAAGGATCCATTCCTACATTGTAACCTAAACTTTCACCTGTTAACCAAGCCAAAGTGCAGTGATTGTTCTGTCAATAAGTATAGCTGGAAAGATCTATAAAGCTTTACTTGTGGATCTGTAGAGTGAGTTTGTTCACCATTGTTTTTCTGTCCTACCAAGTTTTGGGTAGATTTACTCAATCCAAGTACTAGGTTTTTGTTATGTGACTTTCCAGCAGTTTTCATATCCAGTGGGAGATTTTTGGTATTCAAAATTTTCTGCCTCAACTAGAGAGCAGCTCACATCATTATGACAACAATACTTTCTGCTGGTTATGCATTGAGATTAACGGGTTAATTTATGCATATTGCATATGGCTGGTGCTCTGCCGGTTGTTGTATGATAAGATTTTTGAAGCAAAACACCAGTTCATGGTACAGTGATTTGATTTTGTCATGACAGATTTTGCTATTTTCTCTGATCTTGTTGGGATCTACCCTTGTTGGTTGAAATGGAAATCTTTAAGTTAAGTGGAAAAATTACATTTTCTCTCAAGTTTTGTTCTACGTCTGGTGGTTCTGTCATTGTATTTATCCACTCAATCAATTACTTAATACGTTACGTAGCTTTTGGTTTATCTTTTTTCAGTCCTGCACACTAGCTTTTGCCACATTTTGTTTCTCAGACTTTGGTTTCAGTTCAGGTATCAGGTTAGAAATGTGCTTCTGCCACGAAAAAAAGACCTCTGTTGAATTTTGGTTGTAGCTCCATAAAATTTGAACGCTCACTTTGAGATAATATTTGAACTCGGAAAGTGAACGAGTTGTTGCAGGTCTTAATCTGGTTTAAGACAACTTTTGGTGGTGTGTAGATGGTTATGCTCCTTGGTTTATGCTGCTTGCTGAAGGTGTGTGGCCAGAATTGCATTCTCATTGAATGTCTGCATCCACTTTTACCAGTTCTGTTAACAAATATCAATGTAATGTCTTCATCCATTCCCCTTGCTTTCGTAGTTTTAACCATACACTCTCCTTTTCCTGCTGATTGAGATAGACAACTCAAGTTCATGGAGTAATGTTTGTTTCTAGCTTCATAGTCTAAACTAAATTGCAATCAAGCTGAAATGATCGAGGTCTTGAGATGTTGGTGTGTTCAAGTAGTGGTCCTAGCTTTATTGAAAGATGCTCTATAGTACTATCTAATCTGGTGAACTTCACATTCCACTACAATTGCTTTAGCATTTCTAGACAGCCATGTTGATGGTGTATATTTGGTCAAACCCGGGATAAGATGAAAGTCTTATCTCTTTGGTTTTGATTGAGCAATATGCATGAGTTCTAACCTTATGTCAAGTTATTTTGGGTATCTTGGCTGGTCTACATCGTACTTTGCAACCCCTAGATCCTGAATTGGCCTAGTCTATAATTCGAACTTCCTAGTAGGAGCCCTTTTTTCTTAACCAGAATGACGATGGCACTGATTATGACACTTCTAGGCACAAGCACTAAACCGAAATCGACGAATACAGTGCTTCAAGAAAATAATAAAAGAACAATTCTTTAATTGAGTGGTCAAATGGATTTTGATTCAAGTGATTTTTTGTGGAGGGGATTTTTGAATTTATAATTAAAAAATAGATGGTTCGGATATTGAAATAGAATACAAAGCGAGCCCTACAAGACTGTGCCTCGTGTATATATATGTATTATGCTCACATAAGGTTTTACAAATTTGAAAGTAAACGAGAATTCAACTTCTGTGGTCCACTTAGAATATCAGACTTGTCTTTCTTATTGTTATGTGCCATGCTGATCTCATCAATAGAACTTTTGTCCCTCTTATCTGTTGCCAAATTGTGCTGATTTTAAATTTTTTTTTGTTTTTTTTTTAAGTTTGTTTTTCGAACAATAGTTGTACATAAATGAACTTTCTTGAGACAGCCTTGAATTTTCAACTTTGTATTTATTGAAGTCATTTGTATACAGAAACTATCTGGCAGTTAAAAAAGTTGAACAAAGTGTGTATCTATGTTGAGAAGTTTTTTTTTAACCTTTTTGTAATTTGAAATTTAATAAGGTGCTGTCCTTTTTTCCTTTGAAATCATAGAACTATTGATTTTAAAGATCTTAATTTGTACTAACAAACAAGGGACTTGTAACTCAAGTGGATAAGAACATTTATTCATGCACCCAAGGCGAGATTCTAGGTTCGATTCTCCCCTCCCCCAATATCACTTTGCACCAATGATTGCTTGAGAAGGTGCTGTCCTTTTTTCCTTATGGTATGTAGGGTTTGAAATCATAGAACTATTGATTTTAAAGATCTTAATTTGCACTAACAAACAAGGGGCTTGTAACTCAAGTGGATAAGAATATTTATTCATGCACCCAAGGCGAGATTCTAGGTTCGATTCTCCCCTCCCCCAATATCACTTTGCACCAATGATTGCTTGAGATTATGATCGTTGTAACCCAAACCCATAGCTCATTATACGGAAAGTGATCATCTACCATTCTAATGGATTAGTTTGGTATTTGCTTTTCATGGTTCTGTAGAGTAACAGTTTCATTCTAAATTCTAATAAATAAAGAGGGCATGTAGAATTATTTTGTACACAAACTGCAGCTTTGCAGTGAGTGAGACCACAATTTTCCAATTAGGTGAGGTCTCCAACCCTGTAATTTCAAGAAAGCGAGAGGAGGGGAAAGTATGCATGAGCATGAAATGCTTGTGCCTTACTATTGTTTTAAGGGTTCAATTAAGGTCAGATTGATGATGGATTCTATTTTCTCTTTCTCTGTCTATTGAATGGGACAAACTTAAACCCCCCCTAAGCAAGTCTAAAGCAGAATTTTCAGATGCAACCACGTTAAATAATCTCCTCCTTAATTATTATGAGATCCCAATAGAGAAAGACTTGTTCTTGATTTCAAATTCTTCACCTAATCTCAGCAACATGATAGCTACACATTCACATGCATCTCTTTCTAGCTTTTTGTTGTTTAAGTGTTTCTTAATTTAGAGGCAAAATGAAAGGCTCTTGCAATATTTTAATGCCAAAATGGTAAAAGAATGAGGCAGTGTAACACAAAAAAAATGGACAGCACAACTGATTTTTTCAAAAGGAAATTGGGCAGAAACTCCAAAACCCCTAATCCTTCGTTTTCAAGACTTGACATTCTGTCTTCCTCAAAACCCCTTTTGCTAATCTCTGATTTCAATTATAGTTAACTGTCAAAATGGCCAAAACCTCAATCACTTTTACATCTTAATTTTAGGATAATCATGTTCTATTATGACTAAGATGATATAGTAAACATCAGATGGATCTGGACCCACCATTTGTGTGGGAGAGATTTTGTAGCTAAGAAATCAAGGCAATCATCCTAATTTTAAAAAATATTGAGGAAAATTTGATGGGGGTGGGCAGAGATGAGGAGGGTCATTATGTTTCTCTCACATGGCTTGTCACCAAACTCTTTGATCCCAACAGAGATGGTCTATTACTTCAACTGCAGGTGGGTCAAAAATGGTGTCATCTAGGACGATCTTGACCGTCCAATCTGTATAGGTCCTCGTCCATGTCAAATTTAAAGTAGGAAATGCCAATCACAAGAATCCAAATCTTTGCACGTTTTGTGGACCATAAATTCAAAAGTTTAAGATAGATATGACTCTTAAAGAGTCCCAGATTAACACACCTGCGTGGTGTAGTGTGACATATTATCACAACATTAGCTGCCAAAATAGTGTGTCCGTCTCTTTATATTTGAGTTCGATATTTTTTTTCGTATATTATTCTAGTTTAAAATATAAATTATAGAAGACTTATTTAGATTTATTTAAAGTGGATAGTTATCAGTACAATTTATTCTAACGCATGTTGAACATAAGTACTGTGGAATAAGTTTGATTTCGTAACGGCTGAAAGTGTTGACATATTGCCTCCCCAATTAAAAGAAGAACGGCTGTCTTCATTTAATTAATTAGAGTATTAATTTCCAAATTAAGTGCATCAGCATTTGCAGAATGAAAAAATGCTACTTCCCCAACTTTCTTTTAGCAAGATTAATCATTGAATTATTGGTATATCACATGCAGCTTCAACTTCCAACACCTAACCTACAGCATTTGGCAATGTCCAAGCCAAGAATTTCAAAACAACCTTCGTTGAAATATTATGTCAACAACTATAGCCAAAATGAATGTACAAAAGTTACAACGCATACATGAAATTCCAGAGAGAGAGAGAGAGAGAGAGAGCCTATAGATCAGTTAAATTTGAAAATGAAAAGAAAAAAAAAAGAAGAAAGAAAAGTAATTGGGAAAGTGCTTAGAGCTTGAGGGACAAGTCAAGATTCTGCAACTCATCTTGCTTAGTCTTGAAATGGCCAACACTGCTATTCCACCACAACCCTCCAATTCCTTCGGTCACCGGAGAAAACTTCCGAACACTAGTACTATTCACAAACCTTCCAACGCCACCACTCGACGATGATGATGACGATCCAACTCCCGCCTGCACATGAAAAACATTGTTCTGTGGTACAACAAGCCGCCCAATTGCAGGTTGTTGATCAAGAGACTTTCTCAGGCATCCATTACTATTACTATTATGCCCTCCATAAAGACTAGTATTTGTGGAACCGAAGGTGTTTGATAGTTGGTAACAAGGCTTGTGAATTGTAGAATGCACTTGAACACCAAGTGACCTGTTGAAAGAGCCATGCAGAGGGAGAGAGGCCATGCTAGAGAATCTGTGTGAGAGTAAGCTTGGAAGCCTAACTAAGGCATCTGATGAGGCTGCAGTACAATTACTCTTGTGTCCTTTCTTGGCTAGTGTTCTCTCTCTCTTATGAGCATTTTGGTGCCCTCCAAGTGCTTGTGAGCTGTAAAATTTCCTCTGGCAATAATTGCAGGAGAAAACCCTCGGCTCAGCAGCATCATGAGCAGTTGTACCTTTAGGACTAGAAGTCTCTTGTGAAGAGTTTCCTGATGCGTTTGAAACAAAGCAGTTGATGAGATTGAGTTCCGGATTCGACCCGTGATTGGGTTCCTTGTTGGAGAGGCTTAGATCCAATAAAATATCAGTGTTTGGAGCGTGTGGTGGGTGTTCTTGATGATAATCGTGTGCTTGTTGCATTTGTGGCTTTTGGGTTTCCATAATTGAGACTTTGTTCAGGCTTGGTGAGAATATTTTGGAGCCTCTGAGACTGGGATGATGCTTGAAATTTTCAGGAGTGAGATATTGGAGCAGATGTTTGAGGCTTCATGTAGTAGTATTGGACTAAAGAATGAGAATTTTCTCACTCTGGGGTGATGGGTCTATGTAAAAATGGCCTTTCCAAATTACAGAATGATACAATTTATAAGGAAAAAATCTGATGTGTAAGGTAAGGTAAGGAATTGAAATTCCTAAATTACAGATGTACAGACCATAAAGTAAAAGTGTTGACTGTCCAAAACAAGGTAACAAAATAAAACTTATTGCTTATGAATCTTTACATATTCTATTATTATATATGCAAGAAGAATACTATGTTTTTTATATAATAGTAATAAATGTTTGTGTACTCATATGTAGAAGGATACACCACTGTTTTACAGTTAAAAGGTCTTAATATAGCAAGACTTAAGGAATAAGACTAAACTTGTAGGAGAGAGAGAGAGAGAGAGAGAGTGGATTCCATAAAGCATTTTTGATTGAAACCCATGAGGAACATCCATGTACCCCCCAATTGGATGTTTTTTATACTTTTGTTTGTCTAATTCCCACTCTTGTCTCCTTAACATTTCTTTTTCTAGACATACTATACACTCATGGGTATAACCTATGACAGACTAGAGATCCAACATAAAGGATTTTTCTTTTTCTTTTTTGGTCTGAGTTTTAGAAAAGTTTTGGTTTTTTTTATTTAAATACAAACCAATTTGGAGGATTTAGTAGATGCATGTTGAAGAATGTAAATACTCGAGCTAATTACTTGGACCATTTCTTGGTACATAATCCCATTTAGTTGTTGGAAGCAAACCACACATCTAAGTTCCAATCTGGATTACTTGGAAAATTCTTCTTGACAATCTTATTCATATCTAGGATTTTATTTGAAAAGCAAACCACACACTTTTTTTTAATAATTTTTAATACAAACGATAATCTAAATTATAAGGGAAAAGAGGTTTCTCACACATACACTACCAAGATGTCATGGGAGTTCAAACATGATAGCATTGTTCTACAAGTCAGGATCATTTTTCATTGAGTTAGACCTCGTTAGTCAAAATTTAGATGCATTAGTTTGAGCTTACCTTACTCTTTCAGCATTCCTAGCTTTTGCATCAATAAAGAGTCTTTGATGCTTTTAAGCCTACCTTTTTTTTAATAATACATGCTCAGATTATTGAATTACACTGCGGAATTAACCCTATAAACAGTCCAAAGCAAAATTATCCTCAGAAATGATCCTCATCCGATTAGGAAAGGTCCTGTATTTGTAAGTATGTGCATAATTAAAAAGGTACAAATGGATTGTTTATTGATTTTGACATGTAGTTGAATTCTCCACTAGAAATGTTAGGTATGCTTCCAAATTAACTTGGAAAGTTAGGGCCAATGGCTTTTCTTTTCTTTTCTTTTTTTTTCTTTTTTTTTTCTGACATCAATGTACATAATCCTAAGAATCTGTTGCCACCCAGGATACTAGCAGCAATGCCTTAGGAATGCCAATGGTATAGTTCATGTAGCCACTTTTGCTCCCCTTCTTTTTATTTTTTTATTTTTATTTTTAAATCTTTCCCATTGCCTTAGGAAAGAATTAATTCTTTGACGTTTGACAGATAAGTGATAACCATCGTTAAAAACCACCGTATATCTCTTTCGCTTTCATTCCCAAAAAGGGTTTTCCTTCTCTACCCGGAATTGATAAAATTGGAAAATGAAAAGAAAAGGGTAACTCGATTAGGTCCTCGGCATGGTCAGAAACAATAAATAAAATTCAGTGAAAAATAATATTGAAAAGTTCTCTCTTGAGAAAGTTTTGAAAAAAAAAAAATTCAACTAATCTTTGGTCTAGTTGTATTTGTCTTTAGTTGATTAGAGAATGTCTCAAGTTCAACTCACAAGAATGACAGACAATATATATTTGTGATTGGTTCGATACCTAATTGTGAATGTGTTGGCCCGTTCCATAGGTTTATTGGTCCATTATAATTGAAGTATATTTTAAATGTATTTCTATTGTTTGTCAAAAACAAATTTGACACAATTATTTTTTCACAGTTCATTCGAAAAAATATATTTTTTTATGGAAGCCTTTTTGTTGGACTTAGGAAAGAATTCTTGACATTTGACAGATAAGTGATATTAACCATCTTTAAAGACCACCATATATATATATATATATATATATATATATATCCTCTTTCCTTTCATTCCCAAAATAGTTTGTCTTCTCTTTCCCCATTTGATTAAAAACAAAAGTAAAAAGAAAAGGGTAACTCTCGATTGGGTAAACAATATGGTCAGAAACAGTAAATAAACTATGAAAAATAAATTTGAAAAGCTCTCACTTGCAAGGTCTAAAATATTGATAATATTAGGGGTGGCAATTTTCAATACGATCCGTTACACGACTCAAAACCTACACGGAAAAAACACGACACGAACCCGCACAATTAGAATATGGGTCATTTTCAGGTTAACCCGCTAGTGACCCGTTTATAAACTGGTGAGTTGCATGGTCTTTTGACAGCAACTTTTAAAAGCAGGCTCTGGGTTGTTTTTCAAAGCTGATTTCAAAAGAAGCAGAGATAAGTCTTTAAAGAATTTTTTAAATTCCTAAAATACCATTATTCATTTTTAAAAATAACACAACCTCCACCTCCACATCCAACTCTACCACCTCCACCACCACTACCACCACCACCGCCACATCCTCATCTGCCACCACCACCACTACCACCACCTCCACCTCCACCTCCACAATCGCCATCCCCACCACCACCACTATCACAACCACAACCTCCACCTTTATCACCACCACTACCACCTTCACCACCTCCACCACCACCACCGCCGCTGCCATCACCACCACCACCACAACCACTACCTCCTCCTTCTCCATCTCCACCACATCCACCTCCACAATTGCCATCCCTACCACCACCTTCACCTCCACAACCACCATCCCCACCACCACTACTACCACAACCACCCCCTCCACCACCACCTCTTTCACAACCATCTTCACCTCCATCTCTTTCACCACCTCCACTACCACCACATAATTAGCGCATAACACTTTCAACGTCATATCTATTTGAGTCATATTCACAGTTACAACAATTTTATATTAAAATTTACCAAACAGTTTTTCCACAGTTTTTTGTACTAACAGCAATTTAAAAGAATTATTCACCAAACATGGAGCTACTTTACTTCACAACTAATTATTTTCAAAGCACAGTAGAAGCCACATTTTTTAAAAGTGACAGCAATCCCAAACTGTCTCTCAATGCCTTTTGGGATGGAATTGAGCCGCTCAAAGAAAGAATCTGAGGCTCAATCTTCAAATGATTTTGCTTATGGGCAATGTCAACCATTCTCGTATCCATATGAGTGACATGTTAACGATTACATGCAAAACTATTTTGGGGATTTATCATTTGATGACTACTCTTCACAATACACATACTATGCACATAGAGATGATGAAGACAATGAAAGTTTTGAATCTCATAGGAACTCTGTGGTACTAAGTCACTCATGTATCTTACCATGCAATGTATAAAGTGTAAAATATTGTAGTAAATCTTTTTAAATAAATGATTATATGGTGTGTTTAATCTTCTTTCATTAATCACTATATAGTTTCTACACTCACAGTGTTTGTCCGCTTGCTATATAATCAACTTAAATAAGTCAAACCCACCATGAAATGCATTTCCTTCCAATTTTTTTGTGATAAAACAATAGATAATTGACTAAAAAAAATCCTCTAAAGTGTTAATCAAAATTTCCAAGTTTTTCTTACAATTTCCGTGGTTTTTATTCAATTTTTACCGATATTGATATTTTTCCCATTTCACTTAGAATTTCTACCTTGTTTCAAGTCCTCATAGCTTTTAAAAGCTCTTGTGTTATCCCTAGAACATCAATGGAAGTTTTTGTTCAAACTCCATCCAATTCTTGCACTTGCACTGTCTGTCTTAACATTATCTTGGTCTTTGATCACCGTTACCTTACAACAAATGTGTTAAGTTTTCACATGTAAGATGTAATAAAAAAAGATTTGTAGTTGAGCGAAAGCAATTGTTACAAAAGAAAAAGCTCTATTTGCTGATAAAACTGTATGAAACTTCTAACAAATGCATGCTCCAACCATTTTTAACATTCTGCGATAATGTACCACAATCTTCCATTACTACTTAATAGGAAATTTTAATGCTAAAGAGAAGTTTTGCTGCTTCTGTTCGAGGTGATTTTGTTCTTGTAACTTGGCTAAAAACAATTTTGACTGCCTTTGCTAACCCCCATTAGAGGGCTGCATCAATAAACCTAAACTAGGAAAGAGCAAATGAGACGTTGCCACGTACTAGCCAGAAGAGATGGGGGACTGGGACTAGTGGCCGACATGTAGATGATGAAGAAGCAGAAGCTGATATGAAGAGCTCATATTTTTTGCTCTCAGTGTTATCTCCCATATTGATTAACAGACTAAGACTTTACATGCATTATTATCAGTGATGTATAGCATTCATCACTCATCACATTCCTAAGGTGTGATTTTGACACTTACTCATGAAACACAAAACATGGTTTTGATGGTCTTGGAGAAAATGATGTGATTGGCTATCAGTGGATATGCCTTTAAGATTGTTTTGTTTGCTTTGCCTACTCTTGAGATAACTTGATGGGATGAGTCCATGTTACATCTATCAAAACAAATTCAAAACTTTCGAATTCAAACATATTGCAATTCAATTTAATTCTCGTTTTTAACGAATAAGATAATATCGTCATGTCATTTGTCTTATCATTCTATTTCAAATTTTATTTTTAACGAGTAAGATAATATTGTCGTATCATCTGTCACATCATTCGGCATTTTGAAGCGTGTGAGTTGCTTTTAGTATTATTGTAGCGCAATTCCCTTTCGTTGGGTCTGCTTGCTCTTTTCTTGTGCAGGGTTTGCTTGCTTTGTCCCATGGAAATGGACCCAAATCTTTTCAAAGATTTCTTTGTCCAAGCGTTGTGCAGAGATGAGTGTTTGAATGTAGTTTGAAGAAAAAGTAATGAACTTTTCCATGGTACTATA